CACAGCCAGCGCAGGCCCCAAGAGAAGCCCACGGTCTTTCGCTCGGCCCCTCCCCCACCTCAGGGGAACAGAGGTCAGTGCTTCCAGCAGAGTGGCCCCTCCCAGTGACCTGTGTCCCCAACCCTGCAGGGAGGCGCCTGGGTCCTGAGGTTGCGGGAGGCAAAGCCACTCCTGCCCAGTGGACGAGAACAGCCGCGGTCACGGCCGGCAGGTGAGTCTCGGGCGGCCCCAGGGCTCCTGGACTGAGCAGAGCGGGTGTCCCTGGCGTGGCCTGCCCAGCCCTGCAGCTGGTGCCCAGGAGGGGGTGGGACAGCAGGCATGGAGAGAGGACAGACACGGAAGGGACAGCAGCCCTCAGAGAACAGCCAGGACGGAAGAAGTTTAAGGACAGTGAGAGAAGGCAGAGGAAGAATGAGGGAAAAAGACCAGAAATGAGGAGCAAATCTGCAAAGAACAGAGTCGGAGGCCGGGAGACGCCCAGGGACCTGATCCCAGCCGGGCGGGCGACGCGGTGCCCCAGGGAGACGCCCAGGGACCTGATCCCAGCCGGGCAGGTGGTGTGGTGCTCCGGGGAGACGCCCAGGGACCTGATCCCAGCTGGGCGGGCAACGCGGTGCAAGGACCTGATCCCAGCCGGGCGGGCGACGCGGTGCCCCGGGGAGACACCCAGGGACCTGATCCCAGCCGGTCGGGCGACGCGGTGCCCCGGGGAGACGCCCAGGACCTGATCCCAGCGGGCGGGCGACGCGGCGCCCCGGGGACACGCCCAGGGACCTGATCCCAGCCGGGTGGGCGACGCGGTGCCCCGGGGAGATGCCCAGGGACCTGATCCCAGCCGGGCGGGCGACGCGGTGCCCCGGGGAGATGCCCAAGGATCGGATCCCAGCCGGGCAGGTGGCGTGGCGCCGGGCGTGTGCTGCCGCTCAGCGTGCCCGCCTTCCACATCAGGGTGCTGGTTCTGTATCCCGGCCACTCCTCTTCCGGTCAAGTTTCTTGCTAATGTGCCAGAGAGGCAGCAGACCACGGTTTCTGACCCAGATGGAATCATGTCCCAGCCCAGCCGTCGTGGGCATCTGGGGAGTGAACCAGCGGGTGGAGGCTCTCTCCTCCTTCTCCCTTTCTCTGCCTCTCCCTCTCCACCACTCTGCCTTTCACATGAGTAAGACAGCGAGGCTGGTGTGTGGCACAGCTGGTTAAGCCACTGCCTGCGACCTGGGCCCCTGGCTGAGACCAGGATGAAGCTCTTGGCTCCTGGCTTTGGCCTGGCCCACACCTGGCTGTTGGTTATTTGGAGAGTCAGTCGGTGGATGGAAGATCCTCCCTGTCATTCTGCCTTTCAAATAAGTAAGTCTTTAAAACAAACAAACAGGCCGGCGCCGCGGCTCACTAGGCTAATCCTCCGCCTAGCGGCGCCGGCACACCGGGTTCTAGTCCCAGTCGGGGCGCCGGATTCTGTCCCGGTGCCCCTCTTCAGGCCAGCTCTCTGCTGGGCCTGGGAGGCAGTGGAGGATGGCCCAGGTGCTTGGGCCCTGCACCCATGGGAGACCAGGAGAAGCACCTGGCTCTGCCTTCGGATCAGCGCGGTGCGCGGCCGCGGAGGCCATTGGAGGGTGGACCAACGGCAAAGGAAGACCTTTCTCTCTATCTCTCTCACTGTCCACGCTGCCTGTCAAAACAAAGAGAGAGACAAACTCAGGTCTCAGGAAATAAAGCCAGGAGACCTCAGGATAAAATACTGAGTGGGGGATATGGCGAGAACAAGGAAACGGAAGAGAAATCGATGAAAAGCAGATCAGATGGGCTGTGCAGAGTGGAAGGGCGCCCCGAGGCCTGGGGAAAAAACTGGGGGACAGAGAGAGACCCCAACTGCCGGAGAGAGACTACCTCAGGGAGACTAGACAGAAAAACATCCGCACTGGCCAGATACTGGCTCAGCATCCGGGCTGGACGATCCCGGCCACGGAGGGAGGCCCCGTGATGCAGCTGCCTCCATCCTGAGGGGCGGGGCTCGGCTCAGCTCAGGAAGGTGCCCCCCCCCCCGAGACAGGGCTGGGCCCCAGAGGGGCAGAGGGGCTGCTGGACAAGGAGTGTGACTGTTCCTTTACTTAGTTTTATTTACTTGAAAGGCAGAGAGAACTAGGGGTTTTCCATTCTTGGTTCCTCCCTCTAACGCCCGCAACGGCTGGGGCAGAAACTCCACCTGGCCTCCCACACCTGAGCGGAACCTGCTGCCTCCCAAGGTGTGCGTTAGCAGGAAGCTGGAGCCAGAACCGGAGCCGGGGCTCGGACATGCCCTGAGACACAAGGGCAGGACTGGGGCTGGCGGGTCCATCGGGCAGGGCTCTGTCACCCCAGGGAGCCTCCTCCGCGCCCCACAACCCAGTCAGCCACTCACGTCCTGGTCACAGCCCATGCTGTCTCATCCAGGCCCAGGGCTTCTGGTCACAGCCCCTGATTCACATCGCAGCCTGAGCCTCTTACCTCACAACCTCACAGTGTGTCTGTCCCATTGAGGGGGGCCTGAAGTGTCCCCGGTTCAGACCCGGGGCCCATCCCCGGATCACAGCCCTCCCTGCCCCAGGCTTGTCCCAGGTCGGGGACTCCCGCCTGTCCCAGCCTAGGGCTCAGCCCCGTCTCCACTACAAGACAAAGCGGCCTTCGAGGCTGGGGGTCCCACGGCACGGCGGAGTATGGGCAGGCCTCTGCACATCACAGCCCGGGGCGACCACCCCCCCACTGCCGCCCAGGACCAGGGGAAGGCGCAACTCTGCCCGCCTGCAGGGAACACCTCCCCCTCCCCGGGGGCCGTGCTGTGGCCGGCGGGGCTCCAGCGACCCCTCCTCACCGCGGGACCTGGTTACCTAGCGGCAAGGACTCCCCGCAGCAGCGCGGCTCTCCGCCTTGGAGGAAGGCCGTCCACGTCCGGGAGCAAGGTAAGGGGGTCGGGAACACGGCCCACGGCATTGTCTTTACCGAGCTTCATCGTCCGGTTCCCAGGGGGCCTGGAGTTTGAACGCCTGCCCTCATCCTGCCCCCCTGCAGGTCCTCGGCCGCCCCCCACCCCTAAACACAACCGCCCCAGCCTGACCCAGTGCCGCGCCCCTCCCGTTTCGGTCCTCTCCTCCACGTTTCCCGCTTTGTATCTGGCCCGCCTAGGGCCTGCCCCTCCGACTCCCCACGCCCCACTGCAAGCCTTGTGCTCCTTGCCAAACGGAGCCCCATCCTCCTCGGCACCCCGCCGCGGAACCCGAGCGTCGCACCCGCAGCGGCGCCCAGCCGGACGCACCGGGCGCGCGCCGGTGGTCCTGCCGGAAGTGCGCCTGCCCCGAGGGGTTCCCCGGCCCCTCGGCGGCGCGGGGCCGAGAACCCACCTGCCCCAGCGCGGCTGCGGCCATGATCCGTGCGGCGGTTAACTGTGCCCGCCCGGGCGTGGCCCCGGAGAAAAACGTTCCGGCCCCGCCCTACTCACACCCCCTCCCGCGGGACGGCCGCCCCTCCCCCCCCCCGCATCCCAGGCCCGCCCGGGCTCCCCAATTACGGAACGCCCCGGAGCCGGGCCCCGCTGCAGGGCGCATGCGCCGCAAGTGCCCCTTTCCCCTCGCTGCGGCTGCCGCCGAGGTGGGAGCCAGGAGAGGCCAGGAGCGGAGGACTCGGGCCATCACGGCCCCCGGGTTCCCGCTGACCTGCCGGGCCCTGTCGTTAAGGGAGCCCCCGCCCCCCGGTCAGCAGGGCCGGCCCCTGGAGCGGGGTCCCCGGGGGCACCCCTTGCAGGGGCGCTCCGGCCACTCGCGCCTCGGGGTCCAGCCGTGCAGTCCACGCGAGGCCCGTCCCTCGCCCCCATAGCCGGGGGACCGAGACGCCGGAAACCGGCCCTGGGGCCTCCGTGTGTCTGCCTAGGGACAGCTCGGCCCTCAACTCCTATCCCCCGCAACGCCCCTAAACCGGGGTCCCGGGCCCCCAGCCCCATCCGCCCCCTGTCTCGGCTCCACGCCTCCTCCCCCGCCCACCCGGCCCGCGGCTGCCGGGGGGAGCCGAGCGACCACGCCCCGCCGCCCCAGCCCAATCAGCGGCTGCCACACGCCCCCCGCCGCGGCCAATCCGCAGCAGCCCTGCGGCTCCACCCCCCTCACCTGGGGCGAGGCGGGGGCGGCTCTCGCCCAGCCCGGGGAGCCCGCCGACCCGCGGTGTCCCCGACCCCAGCTCGCTGTGACCCAGACGTCTCCGCCCTCGGCCAGAACTGCTGTCCCTAAGGGCTGAGAGTAAAAGGAGGCCTCCAGCCGGCCCATTACCTCCCAATCAGCGCCTAATTAGCGTCTCCCCCGCGGGCCCTGCCAATTAGCGCCTGGCAAGTGCTCTCCCCACAACCTGCTGCGGGAGCCCTGGTCCCGGGGGTGCAGGGCGGCTCGGCGGGCAACTGTCCAACAGGGCAGGGAATAAACGCAAAAGACGCCCCGGCTGGCTGCAGAATGTTCTGTGTTCGTGGGCACCGGCGGGGTGTGCCTCGCGCATCCCAAGGTGGGCGTGAGGTCCGAGGAGGTTCGGGGTACAGGTTTGGGGCGGAAGTGCGGGAAATCAGGAAGACAGATCCGGGACTTCCACGGGGGTGCTGGGGCCGGCCTTGCACCCATACCCCAGCTCGGCGCCCCCGGTCACGAACAGCTCGAGGCCCGTGCAGAAGCTGGCTTCCGACGCCAGGAACACAGCCGCAGCCCCTACCTCCGCGGGCTGGCCCATGCGGCCCAGGGCTGGGGGCAGAGAGCAGGGAGGACGGCCGTGGAGGGGACCCCGCCCGGATGGCCATGCCCCCGCCCCACACTGGGACCTGGTGTTCACTCTACCTGGGCCATGGCGCCCTCTCGGATTGCGGCCCTGGGGTCTGGCGCCAGGGCTGCCAGCTCTGCCACAGTGGGGTCCAGATGTTTCCTGGGGAGATGCTGGGGGGGCGGCATCAGTGCAGCTGCCTCTGGGGCTCACCCCCTTCCCATCCCCCAGGGGGCTGCTCACCCAGTTGACGCGGACAGCCATCTTGACTCCTCGGTCAGGGCCAAGGCTTTGGTCGGGCCGTCACTGCACCCTGCAGCAAAGGCGCAGGGGAGGGGAATATGGCCCCCTTCCAGCCGGGGCAGCAGAATCTGGGGGGGCTCCCCGTCTCCTGTGGGCACCCCGCTCTGCTCCCCGCTGTCACGGCGTCAGGCCTCCTTGGGCTGAATCTGGGAGTTGAGGGTGACCCTGGGCAGGCTGTCAACTCGCCGGCTCTCACCAGGCGGGGAGGTGGGGGTGGGCAGGGCCGGCCTACCTTGGTGGCCGCGTACCGAACCCCCTGGAGCTGGCCGACCGCCCCCACCAGGCTGGAGATGTTGATGATGTTTCCCCGGCTCCTCCGCAGGTGGGGGAGGGCGAGCTGGGTGAGACGGAGTCGGAATCAGCCCCCCTGGGGTCCCCCGATTCTGCTGAAACAGACGCAGGTGCCCCGCGGGGGACGCCATGGAGGACCCCGCCGTGAGCACCCTCTCTGGTATCTCGGTCCCAGCACTTAGCCTCTGCTTGTCTGGGAGCGACCGCTCCCCAGGGCTCTGCTGGTCCAAGAGGGGAACAGATGGGAGGCCTGGGTGAACTGTGGAGGACGCTCCCTGCAACACCGTGGCTACCTGAGGCCCCACTGTGTGTGTGTGTGCCAGCACGCCTGTGTGTGCGTACCAGCATGTGTGTGTGCCAGCACACTTGTGTGTGCGTGTGTGCATACCAGCATGTGTGTGTATCCATGTGTATGTGCCAGCACGCCTGTGTGTGTACCAGCATGTGTGTGCCAGCATACGTGTGTATCCATGTGTGTGCCAACACGCCTGTGTGTGCATGTGTGTGCGTACCAGCATACGTGTGTATCCATGTGTGTGCCAACACGCCTGTGTGTGCATGTGTGTGTACCAGCATGCGTGTGTATCCGTGTGTGTGCATGCCAGCACGCCTGTGTGCTCATGTGTGTGTGCCAGCACGCGTGTGTATCCATGTGTGTGTCAGCACGCCTGTGTGTCCGTGTGTGCGTACCATCATGCATGTGTATCCATGTGTGTGTACCAGCATGCGTGTGCCAGCACGCCTGTGTGTGCATGTGTGTGCGTACCAGCATGCATGTGTATCCATATGTGTGTGCCAGCACACCTGTGTGTGTGTACCAGCATGTGTGTGCCAGCACACCTGTGTGTGCATGTGTGTGCGTACCAGCATGCATGTGTATCCATATGTGTGCCAGCACACCTGTGTGTGTACCAGCATGTGTGTGCCAGCACGTCTGTGTGTGCATGTGTGTGTACCAGCATGCGTGTGTATCCATATGTGTGCATACCAGCACGCCTGTGTGCATGTGTGTGTATACCAGCATGTGTGTACCAGCGTGTGCGTGTATCCATGTGTGTGCCAGCACGCCTGTGTGCATGTGTGTGCATACCAGCATGTGTGCATGTGTGTGTACCAGCGTGCGTGTGTATCCATGTGTGTGCATACCAGCATGCGTGTGTATCCGTGTGTGCCAGCATGTCTGTGTGTGCATGTGTGTGTACCAGTGTGTGTGTACCAGCGTGTGCGTGTATCCATGTGTGTGCCAGCACGCCTGTGTGCATGTGTGTGCATACCAGCATGTGTGCATGTGTGTGTACCAGCGTGCGTGTGTATCCATGCGTGTGCATACCAGCATGCGTGTGTATCCATGTGTGTGTGCCAGCACACCTGTGTGTGCGTACCAGCATGTGTGCCAGCACACCTGTGTGTACCAGCATGCATGTGTATCCATGTGTGTACCAGCACGCCTGTGTGTGCATGTGTGCATGCCAGCATGCGTGTGTATCCGTGTGTGTGCCAGCATGCCTGTGTGTGCATGTGTGTGTATCCATGTGTGTATCCATGTGTGTGCCAGCACGCCTGTGTGTGTATCCATGTGTGTGTACCAGCATGCGTGTGTATCCGTGTGTGCATGTGTGTGCATGCAGCATGCGTGTGTACCCGTGTGCATGTGTGTGCGTGCAGCATGCGTGTGTATCCGTGTGCGTGCAGCACGCCTGTGTGTGCATTCACTGCACGTGACCTTGGGCAAACTCAGTCCACCTCCCTCCGGCCCCAGGCAGCAGAGCGGACTGGGCGGGGCCTCCCCCGCCACTGGAGACTAGTGAGCCTGAGCCAGCAGCTGGCACCCAGGTCCTCCCGGCAGGAATGTGAACAGCTCCCTGCGGGGTCCCCCAAACCCTGCGTCCTCCCGGCAGGAATGTGAGCAGCTCCCTGCGGGGTCCCCCAAACCCTGCGTCCTCCCAGCAGGAATGTGAACAGCTCCCTGTGGGGTCCCCCAAACCCTGCGTTCTCCCAGCAGGAATGTGAACAGCTCCCTGCGGGGTCCCCCAAACCCTGCGTTCTCCCGGCCACGCGTCCCAACCTCAGGGCCTTGGAACCAGCAGGGTCCTGAGACGGCTCCAGGCTGGCTGCCCTGTGGCCGGCCATCCCACGTGCTCAGGCTCAAGGGTTTCTGGGGACACGGAACTTTCAGTCCCCAGCTTCGGTGCTAAATCGGGACAGTCCCGGGTAAACACACTCCCCCGGCACCTTCAGTCCCTGCTCAGATGCCGCCTCCCCAGTGAAGCCCTCCCTGACTACTCTGCTCAGAACCGCACCCTGGCCGCCCCTCCCCTCCCGTCACGCGAGCCGCTGACGGGCATCTGTGTGACTGTGTGTCGCGTCCGTCTCCCGGGGACGGCTCTGAGAGAATACGGCGGCTGAGGACCGGGTGCGGGGCTGGCGCTGTTCCCAGCTCGCCACAGCACTTAGTGTTCCAGCATGCCATCGTCATAGCAACCCCGCGAGCCGCGACCTCACAGCGCTCCCCATGACGTCACAGCGCTCCCCGTGACACCTGACAGATGGCTGTCCACGGCCAGGCAGCCTGAAGCCAAAACCCAAAACCAGGCAGATGCTGAGCGGACAGGAGCGCCAGGAAGGGCGCGTGGGCGCTGGGGGCGGTGGGAGCCTGGCCTCCCGGCCACCTTCCCGCCCTCTGTCCGCTCAGAGCCCCGCCCAGCCGCACACCTGCCTGCAGCTCACCCCACCCGGGGCCTGCAGGGGCCCAGACCGGCTGCTTGGCACCAAGCACACAGCTAGTGCTCCATAAATATTTGTTCGGCCCTCCCCAGCCTCTCCCACCTCCCTCAAGGTCGCTCAGCACCTCGTTTGCTACATTCCAGGATGTGCCGGCCCTCCTTGGCCGGGGCCCCTCCTCCCCGCCCCTTCCCCTCCCCTCCTCCTCTTCCAGTGCCAATCTTCAGAGCCTGGCTCTGCCGCCTCATCTGACCCCATTTCTCCTAAAGGTTGGGGTTCCTCGGCCTGCCTCTCCCTCTGGGCTGGGATCCCACCTCTGGCATCTGCCCCAGAGACCCCTTCTGGAGACCCCAGCCCCCCTACCCCCAGGCATCTGCATTTCAATGTCTCCTGGACAGAACCGGCCTGTGGGTCTTCCCCAGCCCCTGCCCCCACCAGAAGTGGCCTCAGTCCCACCCGGCCCCAGCAGCCGCCCCTGCCAGTGAGCTCTCGGACCTGTCCAGGTCGCTGCACCTCATTCATTCACTCAACAAACCCGCACAGAGCCTCTGCTGTGTGCTGGGGGCTGCAGGAGACAAGAGACTCCATGACAGGGCCACGGCGGATAGCGGACAGACTACCAGGGGGCACTGGGGGTGCAGTTCTCAACAGGGGGTCCCTGGAGGGTGCTGGGCGGCTTGACACAGCGGGTCTGTGTGAGCCGTGGGGGGTCTGGCGGGAACACCTGCTGGGCAGAGGAACGGCCGGTGCCAAGGCCCCGAGGCAGAAGCAAAGCTGGTGCCTTGGGTGGTGGTGAGGCCAGCGGGGTAGAGGTCAGGGCAGAGGTGGCCAAGGGCCAGGCCACGTGAGACCCCGAAGGCCAGCACTTGCTCCTTGGACAGACTCGATCCTAATACCGGTTTTCCCAGGGTCACGCTGGTTTCCTCATACGGGAGCCAGTGCCGGTGGGACCATGGCGCTTCCGTGCTGAGGCACCTCCCACGGCTGCCACGCCCTCTCAGCCTGGCCCCAAGACCCAGCGTGCCCTGGTCCCCACCCGGCCCCTCCTGCTGTGCCCCTCCCTTCCCAGCACCCCCGGAACTCACCTGAACTCACCGCCAGGCCTCGCATGGCTGCTCCCTCTGCCAGGAACAGCGTCACCGCCTCCCTACCCCCTCGCCTGTCACCGCGTCCAGAAGCCTCGCCTGAACCCAGCACAAGCCGGTCTCCCTGTCACTCTCAGCCGCCCCCAACGCCGGCCCACCATGAGACGCACGCCTACGCCTGTCCCCGCGTTTGTCCAGCGGCCCCCCGCCCCGCACCTGCTCACTGCTGTCCCCCAGCAGCCAGCATGAGTGGACGCGTCCAGCTCTGATGGCCCATGCCCAGGCCTCCTGGGGATCTGTAGGCCTGGGAGGGAGCAGGTCCTTGGTCCCACCCTTCTCTGCAGCCTAGCTCCGTTCAAGGCCCCTGGCAGCCCCACAGGGTTCTGGTAGGGATGGTGTCACGTCCTAGGTTTGGGGACTGAGGTGTGAACACAGAGACAAAAGCCTTCGTCTTGGGGAAAACCAAGTGCGGGAGGCAGGGGCAGACGACACCCGGGTCCAGGTGCACTGAGCGGAGGTATCAGACAGCCCGAGTTGTAACACTGTGGGTTAAACCACCACCTGGGCTCCGCACGTGCCCCGGCGGACGTGTGGTATCTGGCTCTGGCAGCTCCTGACCCCAGCTTCCTGCGGATGCACACCCGGCCACCCTGCAAGGGGGTGCCAAGTGGGTCCCTGCCTCTCATGGGAGACCCGGTGGAGCCCTCAGCCCAGCCCAGCCCAGCCCAGCACTGGCTGTTGCAGGCATCTGTGGCGTGAACCAGTGGATGGGAGAGCTTGCTTGCTTTCTTGTTTAAAGATCTATTTATTTGAAAGGCAGAGTTACAGAGAATTACAGCCATATATATATATATATATATATGAGAGAGGGAGGGAGGGAGGGAGGGGGAGAGAGAGAGAGAGAGAGAGAGAGAGAGAGAGAGAGAGAGAGAGGTCTTCCACCCTCTGGTTCACTCCCCAGATGCCCGCAATGGCCAGAGTTGCGTCGATCCAAAGCCAAGAGCCAGGAGCTTCCTCTGGGTCTCCCACGCGGGTGCAGGGGCCCAAGCATTTGGGCCATCCTCCGCTGCTTTCCCAGGCCAGAGCAGAGAGCTGGATAGGGAGTGGAGCAGCCGGGACTAGAACCGGCGCCCATATGGGATGCCGGCCCTACAGGCGGCGGCTTTACTGGCTACGCCACAGCACCCGCCCCCAAGAGCTGTCTTTCCTCCTCTCTCTCCCCCTCTCCAGTCTCTCTGTTCATAAAGAAAGCAGACAGAGAAACATGGAAGACGCTGACCACGGAGAATCTATGCAGAGAACCTCGCGCGCCCACTCTGGCAACGTTCCGCAGGGCTGAATTATGTCCCCGTAAAGATGACGGAGCACAGACCCCGCCGAGCCCACGGAGGACCCACGTGACGCCCTCACTCATGAACCTGCACAACGTCTCGGGGACAGGGGGCAGGGGACAGAGCCGTCTAAGGCAACAGTGCGGCTTCTTTAAGATAGGATCAGCAGTTCCGGCCCCAGGCCCTTCCCACGCTGGGCGCAGTGAGAGAAACGCCCGGTCTGTCCACCTCCTGCCTTCCCGCTCAGGTCGGCTCTGTGCTCACCCTGGCCTACTTCCCCAGGCTGCGTTTGCCCAATCCTGAGCTCAGGGAACTGAAACAGAGCGAGGCAGGTTGGCCGCAAGGAGCAACACGGGGCAAGGTTCACCCGTCACCGCGTGTTCGGGGGAGTCTGAGGGCGGCTTCCTTCCACCAGGCTGTTGTGAGTGAGATGCCAGGATGAGCCCCATTTCACAGATGAGGAGACTGAGGCCCGGGGAAGGCCGAGTCGCTTGCACTGCATCGCAGGCAGGACCCCCACTCACAGTGACAAGAGCCCGGCAGCTTTCTCTTTCCTGACGCTGGCAATAACGGGGAAGTGCGTGAACCCTCACGAGCCATCGTGCCTGTACACTGGGAGGTGCCGTGTTGGCTCGGCCCAAGAAGGAGCCAGGGCTCGCCCTGACCGGCCGGAGCACCACACCTGCCTCCGGGAGGGGCCTGCGAGTGGGCGCCTGAGCCCCCCACCCCACGCTGGTGCTCTCCCGGCAGCTGGGCCCCAGGCTCGCTCCTGCAGACCCGCTGACTCCTGCTGCCCGCTGGCCACCTGGAGTGGGTGCTGGGTGGGCACCTCACACTCAGCAGCACCCCCCTCCCAGGGCTCCTGGCTGGGTCGGACCGGTTGCTGGAGCAGGGGTGGCACTCCTTTCTCTCTGAAATCCACTCGCACAGCTGGGCCGTGAAGAAATCCTGACAACCCCAGCTTCAAAACGGACCCGGCTTCGCACCGCTTTGCACCAAGTGCAGGGCCCGGGCGCATACAAGCTCACCGCCCGCCTGGCCACGGCAGCCTCGGCCCTCAGCCGCAGGCCCTTCCCCGGGGTGGCCAGCAGAGGGCGCCAGTTCCCACGCAGGCAGCTCCCTTCCTTCTGCTGAGACGGCTGTTGGCAAAGCAGAGACTCCCCGGGACCCAGAAGTCCCCACAATCGGAGCTCCTCCACCCACTCGCGGCCCTGTCCTCCTGCGCGCGCCCCCTCAGGGGCTCTGCGCTGACGCCCTTGCTGCACCTCCTGCCCGAGAGCGGCCGCCTGCCCCCGGACCCGTGCACCTGCTGCTCCTGGGCCCCCACGGCTCTTCCACAACTCTTTTTTTTTATTTTTATTTTTTGACAGGCAGAGTGGACAGTGAGAGAGAGAGACAGAGAGAAAGGTCTTCCTTTGCCATTGGTTCACTCTCCAACAGCCGCCGCGGCCGGCGCGCTGCAGCCGGTGCTGCGCTGATCCCATGGCGGAGCCAGGTGCTTCTCCTGGTCTCCCATGGGGTGCAGGGCCCAAGCACCTGGGCCATCCTCCACTGCACTCCCTGGCCACAGCAGAGAGCTGGCCTGGAAGAGGGGCAACCGGGACAGAATCCGGCACCCTGACCGGGACTAGAACCCGGTGTGCCAGCGCCGCAAGGCAGAGGATTAGCCTAGTGAGCCGCGGTGCCGGCTTCCACAACTCTTATTTAAAAACCTGTAATAGTGGTTATAATAATTTATGTGGTTGAGGCATAATCCCTGGGCGTAACTGTGGGGCACGATGCACGCCTGCGTCAAGGGCTCAGTGACGGAGTCCGGTGCCTGGAGAGGGCCCACCAGCCCACCACAGGCAGCTCTCACTCCTCAGCTGTGGTTGGGGTCTCGAGTCCAAGTCACCGCTCAGAGGAGAGCCCTGAGCCGTCCTCCCGCCCCGCGCTCCGGCTAAAACAGCGACCAACTGTAGGGTGTTCTCCCTCAAGACTTACTGATTGATTTGAAAGTCAGAGAGGGAGGGGGGTTGAGAGAGTGAGAGAGAGAGAGAGAGAGAGAGAGAGAGAGAGAGAGAGAGGTCTCCCATCCACTGGCTCACTCCCATAATGGCTTCATCGGCCAGAGCTGCGCTGATTTAAAGCCAGGAGCTTCTTCCGGGTCTCCCACGTGGGTGCAGGGGCCCAAGGACTTGGGCCATCTTCTACTGCTTTCCCGGGCCACAGCAGAGAGCTGGGTCGGAAGTGGAGCAGCTGGGATTTGAACCAGTGCCCGTATGGACGCCCATGTTGCAGGCAACGGCTTCACTCTCTACGCCCCAGCACCAGCCCCTACACACACACACATACAAAAGCCCCACCAGGGCGGGCATTACCCCTGTGTGGGTGCCCACAGCCATGCTGGAGTGTGGCCTCACGCCTGGTTGCTCCGCCTCTGACCCAGCCTCCTGCCAAGGCCCACCCTGGGGGCCGCAGAGGGCAACAGCACTTGAGTCCCTGCCACTCACGCCGGAGACCCAGGCTCAGCTCCAGGCTCCAGGCTTCGGCCCGACCCAGTCTTGGCTGCTGCAGGCGTTTGGGGAGTGAACAGTGGATGGAAGACCCCCCCCCCTTCTCTTTATCTCTTTGTCTCTGTAACTCTGCCTTTCAAACAAATAAATATTAAAAAAAAAAAAAAAAACTCTCCAGAAAACAAGGAAGCCACAAGAAGCAAGAAGAGCAGAAAGCAAAGACTTCTGGGAACAGGGTGATGGGCACGTGGGGTTGGAGATACGATTCTCTCTCCTTGTCTGCACACTGGCAAAATGCCATGATCAAGAGCGCATGAAACAAGCCGGCGCCGTGGCTCACTAGGCTAATCCTCCGCCCAGCAGTGCCGGCACACCGGGTTCTAGTCCCGGTCGGGGCGCCGGATTCTGTCCCGGTTGCCCCTCTTCCAGGCCAGCTCTCTGCTGTGGCCCGGGAGTGCAGTGGAGGATGGCCCAAGTGGATGCTTGGGCCCTGCACCTGCATGGGAGACCAGGAGAAGCACCTGGCTTCTGGCTTCAGATCAGCGCGGTGCGCCGGCCGCGGCGGCCATTGGAGGGTGAACCAATGGTAAAGGAAGACCTTTCTCTCTGTCTCTCTCACTGTCCACTCTGTCAAAAAAAAAAAAAAAAAAAAAGCGCCTGAAACACACACGCATGCATATACATGTGCACAAGACCACCGCGCGTCGTCCCCAAGCTTCCGTCACTTCTGTGCACGGCACTGACCGCTCCCTGACCTCCGGCCGCCCCCCACCCGGGTCTGCCCCACCACAAGGGTCGGCTTTGCTCACTGCTTTGTGCCCAGTGCTTGGCATGGCGTCGGGGCTAAAGGAGTACTTGCTGGATTAACTCATTTAGAAGGACCATGGTGAAGCCTCCGCCCGCACGGGCGCTCTGCGCGCGGGGACACGGTCCACACCCGGTCTGCGGCCCGGCCCAGCCCTCACCTTGCACAGGGTGTAGGTCCCCAGCAGGTTCAGCTCCAGCAGCTCCCGGAAGCCCTGGGCCGTGGTCTCCTCCAACGGCTGCAGGGGAGGGTCTGGGGTGGGGTGGGGGCGTCGTGAGCAGGGGCCGCCCAGAGCGGCAGGAGGGGTGGGGCCCGCGGCCGGAGTCTCCGCCTCCCGCCTCCCGGCTGCGCGACCCTGCACAGCCCCGGTCTCCGCCCTCGGGTTCCCAGCTGCGAGCGGGGGCGCCGGCGCTTCACACTTGCCCCTGTAGGTTTCACCGCTGCCCCACCGGGGAGGCAGGAATGAGCGGTTCAAGCCCCTCACGCTGCTTCCGCTCCTACTTCCTGCCCACGCGCCTGGGAAAGCAGACGGCGGGCCCCGGGGCTCCAGTCCCTGCCACGCAGGCTCCCGGCTTCGACCTCGCCCAGCCCTGGCCACATGGGCACTCGGGGAGTGACCGAGCAGGTGGAAGACCTCTCTGTCTCTTCTCTCCCTCCCTGTCTGTCACTCGGCCTTCCTCCCCAGAGAGCAGGAGACAGGGACCGAGGTCGTGGATTAGGGGTGCGGCCCCACTTCTCGGGGAGCGCACAGGTGGCGTGATGGAAAGTCACACGCCCGTGTGCCCACACGTCTGTCCACACGCGTGTCTCCGACACACACAGTAACCCTACATCCTGCAAACTGTGCCTTCTCCCACACACCACTGTCCCGTCTGCAAACAGTGCCCGGGCTGTGCAGCCACCCCCCAACAGCTGCTCGTCTGCCTACCCCGGGTCTCCATCAGTCTCTTGCCTCAGGGCTTCTCTGACTCTTTTTCTTTCTTTTTTTAAAAGATTTGTTTATTTATTTGAAAAGCAGAGTTACAGAGAAGCAGAAAGAGAGACAGAGAGAGAGGTCTTCCATCCGCTGATTCACTCCCCAAGTGGCCACAGCCCGCGACAGCCAGAGAGAGCCAGGAGCTTTCTCCGGGTCTCCCACGCGGGTGCAGGGGCCCAAGGACCTGGGCCATCTTCCACTGCTTTCCCAGGCCACAGCAGAGAGCTGGATAGAAAGTAGAGCAGCCGGGACTTGAACCGGCACCCATATGGGAAGCCGGCACTGCAGGCGACAGCTTTACCTGCTACACCACAGTGCCGGCCCCTCTCTGTCCCTTTTTCTACCTCCACAGGAAATACGTGCCCCCAGGCTCTGTGCACCCCCAGGAGTAACCAGGGGAAGCCCCGGCACTGATTCTGGGGTACAAATAAATTTTCCTGGGGCTGGCGCTGTGGCACAGTGGGCTAAGCCGCCACCTACAAGGCTGGCACCTGTATCAGAGTGCAGGTTCGAGTCCTGGCTGCTCCACTTCCGATGGCCTGGGAAAGAGGCAGAGGACGATCCGAGTGCCTGGGCCCCTGTACCCACGTGGGAGACCCCGGATGGAGTCCCAGGCTCCGGGCCTCAGCCTGGCCCCAGTCCTAGCTGTTGTGGCCGTTCACGGAGTGAACCAGCAGAGGGAAGACCTCTGTCTGTGTGTGTCACTGTGCCTTTCAAATAAACAAAATAAATCTCAAAAAATGTTTGTGTGGACGCAAACTTAGCCCTCGCGGGACGCTGGCCCTGCAGGGGTCGGAACCTGTGCGGTGCCAAGGGCACCGAGGGGAAGGTGAGCTCTCTGCTCAAACCCAAGCCCAGCACAGCTGAAGAGAGGCGCCCAGCCGCGCCCCCAGGCAAGCCCCGCCCCTCAGCCCACAGCCCCTGCTTCCCAGGAGGCTGTGCGCCCGCCCGAGAGAGTGACAGCTGTCACTCTGCAGGGGCACCCCAGCACCCCGGAGAAAAACCACGGCAGTGTTTCCTGATTTACAGACGGAGAAACTGAGGCACGGAGCGGGGCGGGCTCAGGCCTGTGGGCTGCCACAGCGCGGGGCGGGGGACACGGAGGAGCAGGAGGACGGGGCGGGCTCACAACTCACGGGAGCCGGCGTTGTTGACCACGCAGTCCAGGCGGCCGAACCGGTGGACGGTGTCGGAGAGCAGGGCCTGTGGAGACAGCGCACGGCCCTGGGACCCGGCAGGGGTGGCCCCAGGACCCCGAGCAAGGCAGCAAGTGGGGAGCAGGGCTCTGAGGAAGGGGAGCCCAGGACTGCGGGCTCCGCAGGAGATGGGACAGGAAGCAGGGGTGCCAGGAGGAGACGGTCACGGTCATGTGCGGCTGTCCCAAAGGAGGGGGCGGGGCAGGACAGAACCTGAGAGGGGACAGAGACCCAGAAAGAGAGGACAGAGACCCAGAAAGAGAGGGGACAGAGACCCAGAGAGAGGGGACAGAGACCCAGAGAGAGAGGACAGAGACCCAGAGAGAGAGGGGACAGAGACCCAGAGAGAGGGGGACAGAGACCCAGAGAGAGAGGACAGAGACCAAGAGAGAGGACAGAGACCCAGAGAGAGAGGGGACAGAGACCCAGAGAGAGAGGGGGCAGAGACCCAGAGAGAGAGGAGACAGAGACCCAGAGAGAGAGGAGACAGAGACCCGGGGGGGGGGACAGAGACCCAGAGAGAGAGGACAGAGACCCAGAGAGAGGGGGACAGAGACCTAGAGAGAGAGGACAGAGACCCAGGTTGGGGGACAGAGACCCAGGTCGGGGGACGGAGCCCCAGGTCGGGGGACAGAGACCCAGGTCGGGGGACGGGATCAGGGGCGTCAGATAACAAAGTGGCTCTGATGGAAGAGAAGCGAAGCGGCAGGAGCCAGCGAGGAGGGGCTGTGGTGGAGGGAGGCTCTGGGAGGGGTCTACAGGTTCTGAGGCCCAGGGCACCTACGGAAGGCCCTGCCCCGGGAGGTCTGGCAGAGTGGACCTGGAGCCAAACCAGGGGGCAGAGAGAGAGTGAGAGCGAGAGAGGGAGAAGTATCAGCGATGGGGCAGACACAGACAGGCCCTCACCCTCACATCCTCCTCCCGAGTCACGTCACAGCGGATAAACACGGCTCCGCGGAGCTCCTGCTCCAGGGTGCGGCCGCCCCGCTCTGCAGAGGGAGAGCTGGGCTGGACCCTGGGTCTGAGGGAGGAGGGCCTGGACCCTGGGTCTGAGGGAGGAGGGGCTGGACCCATGGGTCTGAGGGAGGAGGGGCTGGACCCTGGGTCTGAGGGAGGAGGGCCTGGACTCCTGGGTCTGAGGGAGGAGGGCTGGGGCTGGACCCCTGGGTCTGAGGGAGGAGGGCTGGGCTGAATCTTGGGTCTGAGGGAGGAGGGCTGGGCTGGACCCTGGGTCTGAGGGAGGAGGGCCTGGATCCCTGGGTCTGAGGGAGGAGGGCTGGGGCTGGACCCTGGGTCTGAGGGAGGAGGGCTGGGGGCCTGGACCCCGGGTGTGAGGGAGGAGGACTGGGCCTGGACCCCTGGGTCTAAGAGAAGAGGGCTGGACCTAGACCCCTGGGTCTGATGGACGAGGGCCTGGACCCTGGGTCTGAGGGAAGAGGGCCTGGATTCCTGGGTCTGAGGGAGGAGGGGCTGGGCTGGACCCCTGGATCTGAGGGAGGAGGGCTGGGCTGGACCCTGGGTCTGAGGGAGGAGGGGCTGGGGCTGGACCCCTGGGTCTGAGGGAGGAGGGCCATGGCTGGACCCCTGGGTCTGAGGGAGGAGGGCTGGGCTGGACTCCTGGGTCTGAGGGAGGAGAGCCGGAACTGGACCCTTGGGTCTGAGGGAGGAGGGCTGGGCTGGACCCCTGGGTCTGAGGGAGGAGGGCTGGGCTGGACCCTGGGTCTGAGGGAGGAGAGCCGGAACTGGACCCTTGGGTCTGAGGGAGGAGGGCCATGGCTGGACCCCTGGGTCTGAGGGAGGAGGGCTGGGCTAGACTCCTGGGTCTGAGGGAGGAGAGCCGGAACTGGACCCTTGGGTCTGAGGGAGGAGGGCTGGGCTGGACCCCTGGGTCTGAGGGAGGAGGGCTGGGCTGGACCCTGGGTCTGAGGGAGGAGGGCTGGGCTGGACTCCTGGGTCTGAGGGAGGAGAGCTGGAACTGGACCCTTGGGTCTGAGGGAGGAGGGCTGGGCTGGACCCCTGGGTCTGAGGGAGGAGGGCTGGGCTGGACCCCTGGGTCTGAGGGAGGAGGGGCTGGACCCTTGGGTCTGAGGGAGGAGGGCTGGGCTGGACCCCTGGGTCTGAGGGAGGAGGGCTGGGCTGGACCCCTAGGTCTGAGGGAGGAGGGCTGGGGCTGGACTAAGGACCCTCACTCACCGTCCTTGTCACAGATAACCACTTGCGCCCCGCTGTCCACTGGCAAAGGAGGAGAGCAGTTACACCACAGGCAGGCGTGGACCTTGCCCCAGGCCTTGGCTGCCCTCTTCTGGCCACAGGCCCTGAGCCAGTCTCTCCCCACCCCGCCCACCCCAGTCTCATGACTGCCCCCGGGGACAAAGGGCAGAGGCTCAATGAGGCCCTGTCCACTCCAGCTGCCCGTTGGGCTCAGTGCTAACTAGTGGGGAGGGTCCAGGGAGAACCCCAAATATGCACAGAACTAGGCCCCAAACCACCCGCTCTGTAGCCGCACACCAGGGGGCGCCCGGCCCCAGGCCCCTGCATGGATCCCACCTCCTTCCTCCCACACCCAGTATCTCCCCTCCCCTTCTTTCCCCTCCCAGCCCCGGACCCTGACTCACCGAAGGCCCGCGCGATCCCGGCTCCAATGCCACGCGCGGCTCCTGTCACGACCACCACCTTCCCGGCATAGCGGGCCCCGGAGGCCATGGACACTTCCTCTCTCTCTCACAGTCTTTCCGAGAATGAAACCCACACAGGGGATGGACCCTGGAAGGCCCGCCCTGGGGGCGTTATCAGGAAGGCCAGAGACCTCAGCTTGGGTCCCATGCCTCCTCCCTCAGATCCAGGGGTCCAGCCCACAGAACTCCTCCCTCAGACCCAGGAGACCAGGCCAACAGCCACTCCTCCCTCAGACCCAGGGGTCCAGGCACCAGTCTTCCTCCCTCAGACCCAGGAGTCCAGTTCTGGCCCCTCCTCCCTCAGACCCAGGAGTCCAGCCTCAGCCTCTCCTCCCTCAGATCCAGGGGTCTAGGCTGCAGTCCTCCTCTCTCAGACACAGGGGTCCAGGCCCCAAGACCCTCCTCCCTCAGACCCAGGGGTTCAGCCCCAGCCCTCCTCCCTCAGACCCAGGGGTCCAGCCCACAGAACCTCCTCCCTCAGACCCAGGGGTCCAGCCCACAGAATCTCCTCCCTCAGACCAAGAGTCAAGGCACCCAGCCTATCCTCCCTCAGACCCAGGGGTCCAGGCCCAGCCCTCCACCCTCAGACCCAGATGTCCAGGCCTCAAGCCCCTCCTCCCTCAGACCCAGGAGTCCAGCCCCAGCCCCTCCTCCCTCAGACCCAGGAGTCCAGCCCCAGCCCTCCTCCCTCAGACCCAGGGGTCCAGCCCCAGCCCCTCCTCCCTCAGACCCAGGGGTCCAGCCCCAGCCCCTCCTCCCTAAGACCCAGGAGCCCAGGCCCCAGCCCTCCTCCCTCAGACCCAGGAGTCCAGCCCATAGCACCTCCTCCCTCAGACCCAGGGGTCCAGGCCCAGCCCCTCCTCCCTCAGACCCATGGTCCAGCCCCAGCCCTCCACCCTCAGACCCAGGGGTGCAGGACCCAAGCCCCTCCTCACTCAGACCCAGGGGTTCAGCCCAGCCCCTCCTCCCTTAGATCTAGGGGTCCAAACCAACCTTCCTCCCTCAGATACAGGAGTCCAGTTCCGGCTCTCCTCCCTCAGACCCAGGAGTCCAGCCCAGCCCTCCTCCCTCAGACCCAGGGGTCCAGCCCAGCCTCCCCACTCAGACCCAGGGGTCCAGCCCCAGCCCCTCCTTCCTCAGACCCAGGGGTCCAGCCCAGCCCTCCTCCTTCAGAGTCAGGGGTCCAGCCCCAGCCCCTCCTCCCTCAGACCTGGAGTCCAGCCCCAGCCCCTCCTCCCTCAGACCCAGGGGTCCAGCCCCAGCCCCTCCTCCTGCAGACCCAGGGGTCCAGCCCCAGCCCCTCCTCCCTCAGACCTGGAGTCCAGCCCCAGCCCCTCCTCCCTCAGACCCAGGGGTCCAGCCCCAGCCCCTCCTCCCTCAGACCCAGGGGTCCAGCCCCAGCCCCTCCTCCCGCAGACCCAGGGATCTGGTTGTCTAACTCCTCCTCCCTCAGACCCAGGAGTCCAGGATCCTGTGTGCCTCCCTCCTCAGACTGTGCCCCTGTCCCTTCTCCTCCAGGGCCCGGGAGTCCAGGACTGCAGCCTGCCCCTCAAGGACCCCAGTCACACCCCAGACAGACAGAAACTGGAGGCGAAAAGTTGTTTTAATCTTAATGTGCACAGTGTTCGGCAAACCAATTTTCGGCCATGGAAACACGTCCCCCAGGCCACGGGTGGGGACCAGGCCACCCCGCGTCTGGCGCCGGCCCCGGCCCGCGGGCGGGACCGCCTGCCCACCCCTCGCGCTGGGGGCGGCCTGCTCAGAAGCTGGACTGCAGCAGAGTGACCCGCAGCGGCCACGTCCCCTCATCCCGGTTCTCAGCCGGGGCGGACGGCCCGGAGTCCCACGCGCGCTCCCAGGGAGCGGGGCCTCCGCCACGCCCGCTACCTCTGCGCGAGAAGCCCGCGGAGCCGGAGTTAGCCACCGGAGACCTCGCGGGAGGCGGCCCCGGCGGCGTGGGGTCCGAGGGGGCAGGCGGCGCGGCGGGGAGCGGGTCTCCCCGGGAGTCCAAGTTTCCGCCTGGAGAGACGCATGGAGAACGAGGCTGGCAAGCTTCGGGCGCGGGCCTCCGGACCCCCGGGAGCCCGGGGCCCCAGACCGCTCCTCACCAGGACCTAGGGTTGCAAGGTCCCCGCTCTCCCCACCCTAAAACCCAGCAGTCCGAGAGTCCCAGCCCCTCACCTATCATCATTCTGTGCCACTGTGACGCCTCAGAGGCCAGGGCTTGGGAGAGGCTGAGGACCCGCTCCCGGGGGCCTTCGGACGGCGGCAGGGACGGGGCAGCGTTCCTCGGACTAGGAAAAAGAAGGTTGGGGGAGCGTGTGCGGAGGGACAGCGGTGCGCGCGCGGCCTTCTGGGAGTTGTAGTCCCCGGCACGTGTCTTCCGGAGACTTCAAGCTTGGCGCGACGCTCTTGCCGCCCGCGTGCATTATGGGATTTGTAGTCCAGCCGCCGTCCATATTTTACCCGATTTCCTTGGTGCGGAAGGGCAGGGTTTGAGGTCCACCCCGGGGGTGACGGCGCCTGCAGTTCTCACTGAGGACCTAGCGCTTTCTGAGTTTGTCACAGACGCCCCAGAGACGCACGCTTCGCCCTTCGTGAGTTCGGTACTCGGGAGGCTGGAGCCACACGCCCCGCCCCGCCCCGCCCCGTGTGCAGACTGCTGTCCCCGGTGCCTGACCCGCCCTCCGGTTCCTTACCTACTCCAGGACCCCGAGCTTCTCAGCCATCTCGCGGCTCCCGTGTGTCCTAGGACCGGCTGCAAAGGAACTGGGGCATTAGAATTCCTGAGCCGGGAGCCACCGCCAGGGGAGCCAGTGAACACCACGAGTTGGGAAGAATCAGGAAAGGCCCTTGGGGTTAGGTGGGGGAAACTGAGGCTCAAACTCGGCGTGGAGGGCCCCCGCTCCCCGCCCCGGCCCCCTCACCCTTGGCTCCATGTCCGGCTGGCGTCTGGCGGGGGTCAGGGTCCTCCCCAGAGTGAGGAGCCTGGGGGAGGCCGGGCGCGGGAGGGGTCGTCCACATTCCTGGTTCCTGCGCATGCGCTCCAGTTGCTCTTGGGCACTCATCCGGGGCCGGGCCACGGGGGCCTAGGGAGATGAGAGACCCCCAGCTGCCCCACCGTGGGCCTCCTCCTTCTCCCTTTCCCCTGAGCCTCTCAGCCTGCAGCCTCGTGCTTAGCACAGTCACAGCACCTCCCAGGGGTCTTTCCACTCCTGGCGCTGGCGCTGGCCGGCCCCTGCTCACCCTGACCACAGGGACAGGCCTTGGAGGGCCGGGGCCGGGGCTGCACCCTCCTCCGGGCCCGCTGCCGCAGTTTAAGCTGTGACCCCAGCAGAAGGAAGCACCCCAACTTCCCTGGCCGCCAGTGTAGACCCCCGAGCTCTGGCGACAGAAGCTACTCGCACCGGCTTTCAGGACTAGAGGAGAGACGGGACTCGGCTGCAGAAGCGTCAGGCTGGCAGGGCGTCGTAAATGCCCTTCCCCCTCTGCTTCTGCCACAAGCCCAGGGAACCTGCACAGACTTCCAGACCCGGAAGGACACCGCGGGTGGGGCTGGCCTCCGGCTGCTAAGTGGTTAGGCCATGGTGAGTGACAGGTGGGTCCAGTGGGTCCTCTCAGCTTGAACGGAGGGGACAGAGATGGGACAGAAGGAGCGCAGGCTGTCGGGCTCCGACCCCACAGGCAGGAAAGCAGGCCAAGGGAGCCATGCGGCCTGCTTCCTTCCAGAGACGGGCAAGCCTGGATGTGCAAAGGGCACACAGGGGCACAAGGCCCCCTGAAAGCTGGCTCTGCCGTCCCAGGCCAAGGGACTGCCAGACGCTCAGATGCCTGGAACAGCTCCTAGCCCAGTGTCTTCAGGAGGAGCCTGGCCGGTGCTGTGGTGCGGCAGGTAAAGCCTCCCCCTGCAGTGCCCATCCCATATGGGCGTTGGTTCGAGTCCCGGCTGCTCCACTTCCATTCCAGCTCCCTGCTGTGGCCTGGGAAAGCAGTGGAGGATGGCCCGAGTCCTTGGGCCCCTGCACCCATGTGGGAGACCTGGAGGAAGCTCCTGGCCCCTGGTTTCAGAACGGTGCAGCTCTGGCTGTTGCAGTCATTTGGGGAGTGAACCATCGGATGGAAGATTTTCTCTCTCTCTCTGCCTCTGCCTCTCTCTAACTCTGCTTTTCAAATAAATAAAGAAAAGAAGGTCCAGGGTTGGTGCCAAGCCTTTGTGCAGAGGTTAAAACGCCCCCTGGGAGCCGGACTCCGTATCTGAACGCCTGGATTTGAGTCCCAGCTCAGGTTCGAATTTCCGTTTCGAGCTCAAGTTTACCCGGGAAGCAGCAGGTAACGGATAAAGCAGCTGGGTTGCTGCAGCCTCCGTGAAGACCCGGACTGAGCTCCCTGCTCCTGGATTTGACCTGGCCCAGTCCTGGCTGTGCAGCCATTAGGGGCGTGAACTGGTGATTCAGATCTCTCTGCCTTTCAAATACATGAGTAAGAATTCCAGGGAGATAGCTTGGATCTGCTGCTGCTTCTGGCACCAATTAGTGCAATTTGCTCTGGTTTTAGAACTCACTTCTCCCAGGTCTGTCCCCAGGAATGGGGGGGGGGGGTCCATGGCAGTCAGGTCAAAAGATGGACCTAGCCGGCGCCGTGGCTCAACAGGCTAATCCTCCGCCTTGCAGCGCCAGCACACCGGGTTCTAGTCCTGGTTGGGGCGCTGGATTCTGTCCCAGTTGTCCCTCTTCCAGGCCAGCTCTCTGCTGTGGCCCGGGAGGGCAGTGGAGGATGGCCCAAGTGCTTGGGCCTTGCACCCCATGGGAGACCAGGAGAAGCACCTGGCTCCTGCCATCGGATCAGTGCGATGCGCCCGCCGCAGCGCACCAGCCGCGGCAGCCATTGGAGGGTGAACCAATGGCAAAAGGAAGACCTTTCTGTCTCTCTCTCACTGTCCACTCTGCCTGTCAAAAAAAATAAATAAAAGATGGACCTAGGGGGACCCCAGATGGCCTACCTTGGCTCCTGGCTGTGGGGATGTGGAGCGGGGACCCTCGGGGCTGGGGGCCCGGGACATCTTTGGAGACCCGAGACCTGCAAGGATGGCACAGGTGTCAGTGAGGGTGGGACCACCCAGAGACCCCACCCCACCGGAATGCTCACCTGCGCGAGGGCCAGCCGGGTCTCCATCGCCCCCCGGGGGCCGCCCCCAGTCAGCCTCCGGGGAGCGGGGAGAGCTCAGCTCCAGGGACTCAGGCAGGCTCTGCAGGGGTTGGGAGAGAGGAGTGAAAGTTATCATTACCGTTCCCGCTGTTCAAGTGAGACAGGGCCAGGAAGGCCATGATGGTAAACGTGGAGTGTTGTGGCCACGTGGGTTAGGCCGCCTCGAGGGACACCTGCATCCCATACTGGAGCAGCTACTGTGCACTTGCAGTCCAGCTCCCCGCTAAGGAAGGCAGCAGACGACGGCCCAAGTGCGGGGTCCCTGCCCCCTGCACAAGAGACCTGGGGGGAATCCAGGCTCCTGGATTCAGCCAGCCCCAGCCCTGGCTGTCGCATCCATTTGGGGAGTGAACCAGTGGATGGAAGACCGATCTCTCTCTCTCTCTCTCTGCCTTTCAAATAAATAAATCAGATAGATAGATGTGTGTGTGTGTGTGTGTGTGTGTGTGTGTGTGTGTTTATTTAAAGAGAGAGAGGGAGATATAACGGCTGATGGCACAAACATAGCCAAGCTGAGCAGGTCTTTCAGATGCACTGTCTGAAGGCTGGAGCAAGCAGTGTCTAACCCAGCCGTGGCACCCAGGGCCCCACTTCCCGAGGGCCCACTGTGTGCCACACACGCTCCAGGCACCATCGCTGCCCCACAGAGCCCTGCGAGCCGAGCACGACAAGCAGCAGTGTCTGGGGCAGCAGCAGCCCTGACTGGCAGCGCTCGCCCAGATCTGTGGGCCGAGGGCTCCCCCCGAGCTCACGGAATCTGACTGAGGGCTTGGGAAGGGGCGCTCGCAGCCGGCTGTGGGAGTTGTTGGGCCCACAGCACAGGAATGTGGGGTGACACAGTCACCCACACACACACGTTCTGCACATGTGGATTCAACCACAGATGGAAGATTGCTATCCCAAATATGTGCAGACTTTTCTTTCTTGTCATCGTTTCCTGACATAGGATGACGATTCAAGAGCTTCAAGTCATGTAGAGATGGGGTTAAGTTCATGAGAGGCTATGCACTGGGTTATATGCAAGTGCTGCCCGATTTTGTACACGAAACTTAAGCCTCTACAGCCGCAGGGGATCCTGGGACCGATCCCCCACCATGGCTACCCAGTGTCGCCTGGATAGCAAATAAGGAAAGAGAGGCTTCCAAGAGTTAGGCTGCTTGCCGGAACTTGGTTAGCTGCCCAGGCATAAGGTTGGCACCATGCTAAGAACTAACCTGGGAAAGAGGATGGGGGCGGGGCAGGGCCAGGGCCTCGCAGGAAGAGACAGGAAGCTGGGGATGAGGAGCAAGGGGTGTGACTCTCACCTCCCTCTCTGAGGACTCCTCCCCTTGGAGTGCGGGCGATGGGGAGTCAGGCTCAGTGTGGGGGGGTGGCTTCTGGGGGCCACCCAGACCTGCCAGTGTGTCCTCCACCATCCACAGCTGCTGCTGGGCAGAGGCGCGGTCCTGGGGGAACGAGAGGAGCTTGTGACACAGAGGTGGGACCGGCGGCTTCTGGCTGACATGTCATGGGGAGGGTTATGCTAGGGTGTTAAGGTCTACATGGATCTCTCTCTATCTATCTGGATGTCCAACTGGGTTGAAAAGACTCCTCTGCGGTGTTACCTCTGTCATGAAGAGATGACCATACAAATACCTGGGAGTCTGTCTCTGAACACCTCCTTCCATCCCTTAGGCTAGTTTTGTTGCTCTGTGACACTGTTCAGTGAGGCTTTATTGTCACAGGGCACATCCAGTTGTGTTGGTCCTCAAACTTTGTTCTTCCTGGAGATTGTCTTGGCCTTTTGCATTTCCAAATATAATTTAGTGTCAACTTATTAATCTCCATGAAAATCTTCTGAATGTGTGTCAGGAATGCAGATCTCTGTTGGAGACATGGGTGTGGGGAGACTAAAGCTTTTCCTGTCCATAAACATGGTATACCTCCTCATGTCTATAGGTCGTCTTCAGTTTCTCTTTGATGTTTGTGGTTCTCAGAGTAAGTGTCTTGCATATCTTTAATTAGACTTATTCCTAGGTATTTTGCTGTTATTATAAATTATATAGTTTTTACATATTCATTTTCCAACTGTTTGGCACTAACAC